AATCGTAGCAAAACGTATGCATTTTAAAATGAAAACGCATTAGTGTAAACGGGGCCTAAGGCTCTCTTCAGCAGGGACGATGTGAAAACTCGAATGGCTGACAGTTGCTTTTCACACAGGGCTCTTTAAGCTAATGAGGAAGAAATCGTCACTAATGGGCGGGGCTTTTAGTGTTTTTGACTGTTTTTATAAAGTATGCTGACAAAAAAAAACACACACATATATATATATATATATATATATATATATATATATATATATATATATATATATATATATATATATATATATATATTTTACTATTAAAAGCCGGATATATTTACACACTGTTGCCACACGATATATAGTAATTTTTTGCATAGTACTGTAGGTCCCCCTTGGGGTGTTTCCATATTGTTCGACAGCTTTAAGACTGATAGTTCATCAATGAATAACTAATGCAAATCCGGAATCATTGCAGAACGTCATGAAAATAAAAATTATGCAATCTCTGAATTATGTTTTACATTAATTTAAGGATTTGATAAAGTCAGTTGTGTCCATACTGTCAGAATATTTCTAGAAACTGAAAGTTTCCATGAAAAGAAAGGAAAGAGAGGTGTTTGTCTTTCATTAACACTCCTGCAATTCCCCTAGCTCTTAATCCCACTCTCCTTGTCACAATTTGTCTGTTTGCATAAATGTCAGTAGGTTCATCCATTAATTTTGCTTCAGCTTAGTCCCTGTATTTACCGCCCTGTATTTACACAACAGGTGCCCTTCCAGCTGCAACCCAGTACTGGCCAACACCAGTTTACACAACATTGTTTACACAGTTCACCTATAGCACATGTCTTTGGACTGTGGGGAAAACCCACACTAACATGGGGAGAACATTCATCAGTCTCTACACAGAAATGCCAAATGGCCCAGCCTGGACTCAAACCAGTGACCTTCTTGCTGTGAGGTGACAGTGCTAATTACTGAGCCACCGTGTCCTGCAAGTCATTAAGTGTAAGTTAATAATAGTATGTGTTAATGTAACTGTTAAAGACAATAGGTGTGGAACATGCAGTAAATACAGTACAAAACAAATCACAAACTCTGCTCTTACTTACTCAATAAGTGCACATGTAAAAACACTGATAGGTTTCAGACACACAGCAACAAAAATGTCACACAGTTCTAATAGTTAAACAAAAGATGTATAAAACATGAAAATGGCCTTTAAGAAAATGTACAAAATTAATAAGTACATAAATAAAGGAATATTTCAAGTTCTGTAGTGAGATAAAATGTGATATGTATAAAGTTTTAGTTCACCCATAAATTAAAATAATGTTATAATAATTAATTACTCAACCTCATGTCGTTCCAAACCCTGAGTCCTCTGTTCATCTTCAGAACACAAATGAAATATTGTATGTGAAATGATGAGAGCTCCCTCATCCTCCATAGACAACGAGGTTCTTGACTCGTTTAGACAAATACCTAAAACATCCTCAAAACAGTCCACATGTCTTAAGTGGTACAATCAGAATATATTTAAGCTATGAGACTACTTTTATGTGCACAATAGCCAAAAATTATGACTTTATTTAACAGTTTCTTCTCCTCAGTGTCAGTATAGGGCACATGCTCACATATCGCAGACAAGAGTCTAAAGCCTGGTTTATACTTCTGCGTCAGGTGACCGGCGTAACCAATGGAGCATGCAACGCGCGTAGCTGTGCATTTATACTTCTGCGCGCTGTCTCTGTTGGTCTGCATTAACACTTCCAAAATGCTACTGGGCAGTGAGGTGCTAATGTGTCTCTGTGTCAAGTTTCTTCGCCTGTGTTTTGTTCTTTCTGAATGCTTCCGGGATGTACAAGTGGCTCAAACTTGCTCATTTTGAGGCAGGACCTGGCGGACGTCCAACAACTTTAACTATGAGGTAAACACAAAACAAAACTTTCCATCAGGAGCTCCTTCGCGGGACTCCACACTTGTAAACAATCGCTCCATTGGGCTCGCGCCACTCTCGCGGCTCTCGGTCCCGCCCAGAATCATCAGCGCTACCAAGTCGACCAATCACAGAGCTTGCGCTACGCGTCGTTGCGAAGTGTAGTTAAATTTTTTGAGAGGTGCATGTCAGCAACGCCGACGGCCACGGCGTAGGGCTATGCGTTAGCACCGTAGCATACACGTGCGCTTGACGCAGAAGTATAAATCAGCCTTAAGGCCCTGTTTACACTGTCAGGTCTTGATGCCCAATTCTGATTTGTTGACTATATCTGATTTTGTTGCCTGTCCGTTTACATGTACTTTTAATTGTGACCCATATGTGATTAATGTGTTTACACTTGGCATACAATTTATGGTGTTGTGCATGTGTAAAGGCGAGTTGCAGTGTCTGCGCCACACTAGCCACGATGGAGGAAATTGTCTTGCTTTTAGCTGTGCGAAATATGCGAAGTTCGCCTAACTTTAGAATGATTTTGAGGAGGAGTGAAAGGGCCGCCATCGCAGCTTGCACCTACAGTATATATGGTGTCCTCCACCATTTAGAGGAATTTGTGGGTACGAGAGAGATCTCAGATCTAGTGGGAGCAAATTGTGGTGACTGACCACTTTCCTCCTCCATGTTTTCTCTGTTGTTGTTTACCGCGTCGGCGTCTCCACACACGGTCTTCCTTCTACGTCATTAAACCGGAGAAAAGTACCACATTGTAGAAGGTTTAATGACGTACAAAACACAATGAAAATTCGATCTGCCTGTTTAGATGATATTCACATTGTCACATATCTGATTTATATCTGAAAAGGCCTGAAACCAATCACAGAATATCTGAATGCATGCGTTATAATGTGTTTACACGGTCATAGAACAGATGAATTCTTTATTTGAATATAGTTATTAATTTTGTTTAATGTGCATGAAAAGGTATTCGCGTCCAGTGTTGGGGAAAGTTTCATTTGAAGGTAATGCATTACAATATTGAGTTACTCCGCAAAAAGTAACTAGTTACGTTACTTAGTTACTTCTTATAGTAAGTAATGTGCTTCGTTACTTTCGAGTTACTTTTTATTATCTGGCTGAGGCTTGATTTCTTTCAGAGCTTGTTTTTTCGTCTATTTCTTTAATAGAGGAGTTCTGCAATTAACAACACACTGCATAACCTGCATTTACCTTTAAGAAAATACATAAAAAATGTAGGATAATGTTATCTGAGAACTTCGTGACCCTAGAGCTATACATGCCGTATATATTGAAAGTTTAAAGCAATGTGTTTGCTAATTTTGTACTATTTGTCTTTAGTAAAATCACTGTCCATTGAGACAATCTCTTTTTCATTGTGACTACTTTAATTTAATTCAGTACTTTATTTTTTTAAAAGCTAATTAATTAATCTAAAAAGTAAGTCAAGTAATATTACTTAATTTTTTAAAAGTAATGCTTTACTTTACTCGTTACCTAGAAATGTAATATTATCACATACCTCATATTACTTGTAATGCATTACCACCAACACAGTTCATGTAGCTTAATAATATTCCAGTTGAACGACTGAAGACACATGGCCTGTTTTGAGAATTTTTTTTGGTACCTTTCTGGACTTTGCAAGAGTTAGGAACTTTACTCTCTATGGAGGATGAGGGAGCTCTCAGATTTCATCTAAAACATCTTAATTTGTGTTTCCAAGAAAAATGAAGGTCTCGGGGCCTGAGGGTGAATAATTAACATCATTTGTATGTTGGGAGTCAACAATCCCTTTAATATGTTAGTTCTTAGAAAAACAAGAGTCATAATACTTTTCTGTGGTACAGAACATTGATTTAAAACTTGCAATATTCCTGTAATCCTTTTTTTACCATCACATGAATATGCATGCATGAAACTTGACTCAAAACGTGTTCAACCACTTATCATTTACACTGAAAATATGTGGGCATGATCACAGCACGACAAGCATGAGCAACTTACAAAATAAATTGGGGCTTGTGTTCTGAAAGACAGAATGGGATTATTCATTATTGTCATAATCGTTCAAAATCTGTGAAAAATAAATGTTTTGCTATGCACTTACAACAGAGTATAATAGATTTTACATTTGCATTTGTGCATTGTGTTGTTTGAATACCTTATGTAATGTAATGTAATGTAATGTAATGTGTATTTATATAGCGCATTTATTGTGTATGGCCATACACCCAAAGCGCTTCACAATCATGAGGGGGGGTCTCTCCACACCACCACCAGTGTGCAGCATCCACTTGGATGATGCGACGGCTGCCACAGGACAACGGCGCCAGTGCGCTCACCACACACCAGCTATTGGTGGAGTGGAGAGACAGTGATAGAGCCAATTCAGTGGACGGGGATGATTGGGAGGCCATGATCGTATGGGCCGATAGAGGGACTTTGGCCAGGACACCGGGGTTACACCCCTACTCTTTCACGAGAAGTGCCATGGGATTTTTAATGACCACAGAGAGTCAGGACCTCGGTTTAACGTCTCATCCGAAAGACGGCGCCCACTGACAGTGTAGTGTCCCCTTCACTTTTACTGGGGCATTAGGACTCACTTAGACCTCAGGTTGAGCGCCCCCTGCTGGCCTCACTAACACCACTTCCAACAGCAACCTAGTGTTCCCTAGTGGTCTCCCATCCAGGTACTAACCAGGCTCAGCCCTGCTTAGCTTTAGTGAGTAACCGGTCTTGGGCTGCAGGGTGATATGGCTGTGGAAGTGTAAAGTTTCATGTCATTAAAATACGTTTTACGAATGCAATCAGTTTTTTTAGTTAAGACTTTTGAGGTTGGTGCAGTCTAAAATTAAACTTAACTGGCTAGCCAGTTAATCTAACTTCATGGTACAGGCCCTTGGTCCTCCAAGATCAAATACAGGCTATCTATTCCTTATTATTTAGATTGAAATGTCCATATGAACAATTGAATTATTATCTGATATCATTGCTGTAACAATCAAATTCTATTCAGGGAAAGATCGAGAATACTTGTGCAAAGATATACAGTTACCTTGAATGTTGGACTCATGGGGTTCAGCGGATTAAATGGATCATCACCATCAGTGGGAGAGACGTTGATATTTTTCATTCTTTTCTCCACTGCTTCCATCCTCCTCCTCTCGATGTCCTCCTTCATCTGTCTTTTGTCCTCCTGTATTGATGACATACGATGCTTTTACAGTTGGAAGTTGCTATTCTTTAAATAATGTTCTACACTGTAAACCCTGATAAGTTGAATATGATTACTTACATTAGGCTAATTATGTTTGTGGAAGAATGTTGCATCAAAACATGTGAGTAAACTAACAATTTTTTTTTAAGTTAATACACTGTAAAAGATGCTGGGTTCCACACAATTGATTTGTGTGGGGACAACATAAAGGAATTAAGTTAACATTAGTTTTTTACAAATTTAAGTGGATTGAATATTAAACAGTTGTCCCCAAGAAAGGCAAAAATTGTGTTGTTTCAGCTTATTTTAAATTAGTTTGAACAAAAAGCAAATGTCATTTTTTAAATTCAATTCAATTCAGCTTTATTTGTATGGCGCTTTTTCAATGTAGATTGCGTCAAAGCAGCTTCACATAAACGGTCACAGTAACTGGATCAGGGTAGTTCAGTTTTTAGTGTTTAAGTTCAGTTCAGTTCAGTTTAGCTCAGTTCAGTGTGGTTTGAAGTCATTACTGAGAGTCCAAACACTGAAGATCAAATTCATCAATAAATAGCTTTTCAGATCCTGAACCAAGCAAGCCAGTGGCGTGCAAATGTAGAACTTGATTTTATTTTGTACTACAACAGTGTTTTAGGTGTCTCTAACAATGATTTTCCATGGCTACTGGCCCAAACATACTCATCATAACGTTCATTAAAAAGTTTATTAAATAAACTATTTTGGGATGTTTGTGTGCTTTAACGTCACATAAACTACATTCTTTATCATTAAGTGTTTTTGTGAATTTAACTATCAGACACCTTTTTATACATTTTTACAACATAATTAGTAACATGAATCATGGAATTTATACAAGTCTTAAAGGGGACATATTATGTCCTTTTTTACAAGGTGTAAAATAATTCTCTGATGTCCCTACAGTGTGTATATGACATTTTAATTCAAAATATCACACAATTTTTTAAAACTGTTTGACCCCTTTTAGGCTTTGTTTAAAATTAGGCAGCCGATTCGAATGTTATCACTGGATTAAATGGGCGTTATCTGTGGTTATCAAATATGGGCCAGTAGGGACCTTCTGCACCTACTGGTAGGCTCAGAAGGCTGTTATCATCCATCCAGATGGTTAATCAGCTATAGATGCAGCCAGAAATTAGCAAGAATTATTTATATAATATTTATTAAACATTATTCCCATATTTGTATTTAATTAATGTCTACCCCTACCCCAACGCTAAAACCCAACCATCCCAGTAATGTAAAAACAGATCTGGAGTCTGATATAGCTGATTAACTATATGGATAGATGATAACAGCCTTCTGACCCTACTAGTAGGTGCAGAAGGCCCCCTACTGGCCCATATCTATCAGCTGATAACCACTGATAATGGAGGGTGAATTAGGTCATTTTTGTGACTGTCGCTTTACATTCAAATGAGATTGTGCTCAGCCCTCTTTTCAAAAAGACGGTGAAGCTACAACTTCCTATGTGTCAGCATAGCGGCAGATTCAAAACTTCAATAGTGCTTCTCCCTCAGGGCTGTCTATGCTAACGTGAGAGAATTGTCACTAATTGGCGAGGCTTCCCTCTTCGATGACATGTACAGAAGGAGAATGTCAATCCAAGTGTTTGTACTGGCTTGCTAGCTAAATTTACACATTGTTGCCACACAACTGTGATTAAGCCACTTGTAGAGTGATTTTTGCATAATAGGTCCCATTTAAAGTTTGTTTTTTAACCCATTCTCAACTAAACCACAGGCTTTACTCTTCTTCCACTATGATGGTAGGCCAACACATTTCAGCAGAACCACAACCTCTGTAAATCCCACTAAAAACAAACTTACAGACTATTTTATGTCTTCCTGTTAAGTACACACAGGCAAAATAACACTTCATTTCAATAGAGTCTGGCTGCAGATATGCACTTGCACCTCCAGGCTTGCAGGCCTGGACTTGCATGCTCAGGCAACCGCGCTTCTTCTGCAAGTGATGTAATTTACAATCACCATCTGTGACTGCTTGCATGAAAGTCCTTCGGTAATTTAACTTAAGGGTGTCTCTGAGACGGAAAAATCTCTGAGGTAATGGATTTCATTAAGATCGTTGCAACAAACTTTTTATCTGTCACCTTTACTCAAGTGTTTTTTTTTTCTAAGGGTGCTTTCAAACCTACACTTTTGTTTCTGAACGTGTCTCGTTTGCCCAGTTAGCGCGGTTCGTTGTGAACAGGGTAATCGCGCTCTGTTCCACACCAAAGTAATAGCTCCGAGACCGCCTGAGTGAGAAGGTCTCGGCTCGATTGAAACAAACCCTGGAGCAGTTCGATTGCAGTGAGAAAGCGATCCGATCCGAGCGCGGTTATATCACAGTGTTTTATGGATATGTAATAGGCATACGACTATATGATGAGAGAATTAATTATTTAGGGAAGTTTTGCGAGTTTCCGGATGCCCGCAAAAAAGTGATGATCTCCCGGTAATGTCGCGTCTCCCTCCCGGTCCTCAAATAGGCATCGTCGCGCACCCTTCTCACCCATCCCCACCGCATCTCTCCTCAGACACGTTGCGCACACCTTGTCAATTACCACCAAACCACCACCTCTCCTGACAGCTGAGCGGGACGCTGCAAAATAAACCCTGACACTCTGACCAACGTGAGGAGAGTTAACTCGCACGTGACTTGTTTTAGCTCTTTTGGTCCGATTAAAAACTTTGCAGTGTGAAAGCGAACTGCTCCAAGAGCAAAGAGCAACAATGTAACAATTGTAATCTCTGTTTCAGAACAACTGAATCGATTTACAGATGTGAAAGCACCCTAAGCGTTTCATTGCGGTGTCTGGCAACATACGGCGACGGGCGCCACAGTTGCTATAGTTACGTAAACAAATCGTAATGAACCATGAATGCTTGCCTTAAAACAGCTCTGCAGTAAAGTTACACATCATCTTTGCCGCTTTTTTTCCGTTAAGCGAGTCGAGACGTTCCCTTATCGATCTCGACATTATGTTTGGAGGACCCATAAAACTGGGCTGGGATCATGTAGAGCAGGGGTCACCAACCCTGTTCCTGGAGAGCTACCTTCCTGCAGATTTCAGTTGCAACCCTGACCAAACACACCTGTTTGTAATTATCAAGTGCTGCTTTAGGTACAGGGCGAGGCAGTGGCGCAGTAGGTAGAGCTGTCGCCTCACAGCAAGAAGGTTGCTGGTACGAACCTCGGCTCAGTTGGCGTTTCTGTGTGGAGTTTGCATGTTCTCCCTGCCTTCGCGTGGGTTTCCTCCAGGTGCTCCGGTTTCCCCCATAGTCCAAAGACATGCGGTACAGGTGGATTGGGTAGGCTAAATTGTCCATAGTGTATGAGTGTGTGTGTGAATGTGTGTGTGGATGTTTCCCAGAGATGGGTTGCGCCTGGAAGGGCATCCGCTGTGTAAAAACTTGCTGGATAAGTTGGCGGTTCATTCCGCTGTGGCGACTCCGGATTAATAAAGGGACTAAGCCGACAAGAAAATGAATGAATGAATGCTTCAGGTACTATTAATTGTTTGATCAGGGTTGGGACTGAATTCTGCAGGAAGGTAGCTCTCCAGGAACAGGGTTGGTGACCCCTGCTGTAGAGACTGTTGAAGCTGCGCTGCAACTGTGATTTCATATTAGTGCACTCCTGCGCAGACATGCTAACTTATCGAGAATAGTTATAAAGAGTAGTTTCCCAAGTCTAGAATCATTGCTGTTGGTCCGTATTGTTAATCTGTTAGTTGTAATACTACAACTCCATGTAATGTTTAAAATAAAAACTAAGACCTCAAATTTGCCTGGTGTTTTTTTATAACTGAAAAACTGTGGAAGAATACCTTGTGTTGTGTATATTTAGACTGATATTCAGTTGATATAAATAATAAGCTTTGCTGGGATGAATGTTAATAGTAGCCTGCTTACATCACAGCAAATAATCATACAGTAAACATACTAACTGCTTTTCGGGGGGTGGGGTGCGGGCTGTCATGTTGTACTACTGTACGTAAGTAGTCTACTTAGAATTATTTGACAACGTCTTCACTGGCAATGCAAACGATCTGGAAACTTACTTTTAGTTTATTTGTGTTGATTCCAAGTGACATGACAGGTGCAGGTGTCACTTGCATAGGAAGCGTGGGTGCCTGAGCATGCAAGCCCGAGAGTGCAAGCCTGAAGATGCAAGTTCATCTCTGCGGCCAGACCCTTATCCTCAATTTCAGCACTTATTTTCCTCAAAACCTGCTTCTACTCAATCCAAGTTCACCTTTCATTTTGTTTCTTGTTTCATTGGTTTGATTACACAATTGGGTTTACAGTGTACTAGTACTGAACGTTTATTTTTTTCCACAATCAAAATAGAATAGGCTAGTATTTCTGTTTATCTCAGCCACCTCTTTTTTGGTCTGCTTCAGCTGTTCCTCTTCCTCTCTCCTCCGCTCTTCTTCTTCACGGGTTTTGCGCCGTTCCTCTCTCTTCTTCTTCAGTTCCTCCAGCTCTAGCTCAGCCTCGGCTTGGCGCTGTCGTAGATTCTCCATTTCCTGATTCTCCTTTTCCTGATGGCTACGTCTAATCTTCTCCAGCTTCAGCTCTGTCTCCAGGACGGCATGTGTGTCCTTCTTAGTCTCGAAGACCTGATTGGTATCAACGATTCTGCTGTAGAATAGTAATAAGATTGACGTTAGTCATGTACGTTTTACGTTTGCACTGATGTTCTGATCAGTCATACATTTGGTGTTTGCTTATTTGAAGAGATTATTTTTTTCCACACAATTAATTATTAACATAGTATCCTAACCTAACCTCCTAAGACCAAATGTCAGTGGTTGGTAGCTTTAGATGTTCATCAAATGTCTCATTTTGTTAAAGTGGGTAAGTCTTGGCCAGAATAAGCATTAGGGTGAGCCAAGTCTTATGGTATTAGTTAAAAGTCTGGATATACAAGACCAGATATTGACTAACTCCCTTAATAGCCCTTTAGAAAGCTTCCTGGCAAATAATTTTTTTGGCAGCTTCAGCATGAGGTCATGTCTATAACACGAATGACATAAGCGTCTAAATTTAAACGGACCAGATTCTATACTGTTATTTTCCCCCCTAAAATAACTCACAGGGTTGGTAAAGTTTAAGTGGTTTTTAATCAAATAAAGCGGTATTTTTATTGAATTTCTATTTCTGTTCAAATGCCATTTTAATAACAGTCAAAGATAGGAAATATGTTCTGACATGTATTAAAATTAAAAATATTTAAATGCAGGACTCTAAATTGACTTGTGCAGTTATTCTATGCATTTAAAAAATATGTAAAGATTTGTTCATTTCTTTGTTAGTTTATTGCTATTTACTACACCATTCATACAAAAAATTACAGAAAATTACAGTTAAAATTACAGAAATTTACTGTAAAATAACAGAGGTTGAATTACAGAAATGTACCAGAAATTTAAATTTAAGGAAATTTCTGTAGTTTAATGTACATTATTTTATGGTAGATTTCTGTAATTCGTTTTAATAAACCGTAAAATTAAAGATTATTATTACAGTGTACTTTTCTCTCTCTTACCTTATAAAGAAAATACAAGAAAATAGAAGGGTTTTGAGTAGAAAAACATAGTTAATATTATGGTTATATTGTCAAATATAATAAAACAAATATGCTATTAACATTTGTTTTTTTTGTAATAACGTTTTATAATCTTGTTTAATAATCAGTTTTTTACTATATTGTATAAATTAAATAACTGCAGCCTTAGTGAACAGATACAGTGTGGGAAATACATACATACATACATACATACATACATATATTTATATATTTATATATATATATATATATATATATATATATATATATATATATATATATATATATATATATATATATATATATATATATATACTGCAATTTCTTTCTGGTCCTCGAATCTGATTAGCTGATAGCTGTGCGACATTCTGCAAATAACAGCTCTTGTCCGGCCTCTTCACCCTTTACTATTGTGCATTATTTTACTATTGTGCATTACTGCCCACATGCAGCAACAAGCAGAGGACACTCTAGAGTTTGACAAATATTGCTGCTGTTGGACAACAAAATGTACTTTTGAGGCTTTTTTAGTCAAGAAGGAAGTTGTTTAGAATTGCGACTATGCAGTTTATTTATAAGGATAGTGCTTATTTTTCTGAGAGACAGCGTATCTGCGGGTATTAGCCTGTCATTGAGCAGACCAAAGATGCTGACCAGAAACCGCATAATAAGTCCTTAGAGGTTGAAAAACCCAGTGTCATTTTAAACTTCAGCTGATCAAATCATTATAAAAATGGTAAGTGACTTTCTAAGTCAATTTCTCTCTTTTGTATGTTGTAGTGCTGTATTTATACTATAGTAAAATAGAGTTGGCCATCTGTTTCTAATGACTCTTCTGTTTTCATTACTGCAGACTAGTTCAATAAACAGAAAGAAAGAAGAAATGCCCGCATGTGTATAGCATTTTTCCTTATCACAAACACAACGGTAATCTGGTTCTTGATGTTTCTGCATGTGTTTCTCCTCATCTGTAATGAGTTTGACACTTTTTTCATTGTTGTGAAGCCACAGAGTATGCGCTGCTTTGGCTTTTTCGGGGTTAATTATTGTGATCTTCCGATTGCAACAGTGAATGATGGCACCTCATGCCGTTCAGCCTTATAATCTTAAAATGTCAGCAAAATCACCTGTTTTTTCATCACTCCAGACATTACGCTAGAGAATCATTCAAATGGGTCTAAAAAGACCTATTTGGACGTTGGTGGATTAGCATTGGTTTCTGCTGTTCTTACGTCAGCTGCAGATATAAATAAATGACGGAAGAAAATAGTTCCTTTAAAAAAAGGATTTTGAGAGTCTCTGTGTTTGATTTTCTTTTTTATACACATGATTATGCCGTCAAACTGTTGTATAAACACAATATCACAATATCACCTGGCTCAGCCTGGAGTCTTGAGGCAATGCCTTACGCCTATCGCATCTACTCGTGTGATATTGCTCATATATATATATATATATATATATATATATATATATATATATATATATATATATATATATATATATATATATATATATAACAAAACAAAAAAATATTCTAGTTACCTAGGTGATCTTTTGGTTTTCACTGGATTTGGTGTCACTTCCTCTGGCGCTGCCTCTGCTTTCCCATTAGGAATCCTCTCTTGCTGTAGGAAGACTTTGGATGTGTATGAAACCTTCACCTCTTTCCTCTCCTCTTTAGCCTGTAAGGGATTGCATTGATTTAGACATGCTGCATAATGCACTGTAAAACTGAAATAATTATTACTACTACTGTAATGCTTCTGACACCTTATTCTCCGTTGGTGGTTTTATTTCTGGTTGTCTTCTTTTGCTGTGATCAAGCCGTTCTTCTGCTCTCTGAGAGTACAGCCTCTCACTGATCTCCATTGGTTTCTTAGTGATACTGTCTGAACGTTTATCCTCTCCTTCTCTGTCCTGAGTTTGATGATGCTCTACAGAACTTGTGAAACTGCTCTTCTCTATTTGTTTCGGTCTTGTGTTTACATTTTTCTTCTCTTCTTGCAACTTCTCTCCATTGGCCGTCTCTTCCATTTTGAGCCGTGTTCTCCGTTCCAGCTTCTGGGTCCAGTCACTAAAACCTTCATCCTCATCCAGAGCAACGGGACTGCTGGGTTTTAATTCACTTTCGAAGCTGAAAGAAACAGCACACTTATTAGCAGAGTTATTAAAGGTGCAGTAGGTGATTGTCTACAGAAACATTTTGTTGTTGTGCTGGTTGAAAGTCTCTTCACTGTCTAGTAGTAATGACTAAGTAAATAATCTAAATGTATTTGTGTGTATTTTTAGATTCTGGGTAAGGCATAAAACTAAAAAATGTTCTGCCAATTAAAATAGCGTCAGGCCGGCGTCTCCCATAACTCCGATAGGTAGCTCAAACTGTCTGTCAGCAAATGCAGATTTGAACTAATGCACAGTTCACTCGCAGATCCGCCCTTTGTGCGTACACGTGCTGCGCCTTCATGAGAGAGAGAGAGAGAGAGAGAGAGTGGTAAAAACATGCTGAATCAAAACTTTTTAAAATCCTATATCAATGTTGGAGTTAGTTTTGCACGCTGGAGGAAGACGACACCATGACTGAAGTATTTCTTTAAGGCTGCATTTACACTGCACTGTTCAAGTGACCCAATTCCAGTTTTTTTCTCCCATGTGGCACAGATCGGATATGGCCCATGTACGTGTAAGCAGGAACAAATCACATGGATTCCGATTTACTCAAATCAGATTCAGGCCTTGTTCATATGTGGAAATATATCCGATATGAATCGGATCTGTGTTCTCGTGTCAGCAGTGTAAGCAGATCGGATTTTCATTAAAAAACAATAGCAAATGATGTCAAGTCTGACACTTTCATTTCAGAACAGACTTCAGCAGAGTCCCAAACCTTAAATCTCATACACGAGGACTTAAACAGCTTTTATATTGTCATGTAGCACAGGTATTTAAGCATGTTAAAAAGAGCGAGAGAGCGCAATGTCCGCCATGTAACCAATATAAACTAATATAAAACTAGTGCATAGCTACATCACGTGCATAAATCACGCCATGGACGTCACATTAAGATGCCTAAAGGTTTAAAAAGCCTATATATCAAAAGAAGATGGACAAATGAGAACCTTTCTGTCATAAAATATAGTAAAACAGCTTGTCAAAAGTTGCGCACAGATTACAAGAATAGAGAAAAGACAACACAATCTCATTTTGAAAACGTAGTCCCGCGGACGTTTCTGGAGACAGCGGAATACGTCGCGGGAGGTACGTATGGCTGCACTTATTTTTTTCAAGCGAACACTACGGGGCGGTGTGACGCTGTTCCCTTTCGTGCTTGCCAGCCGACCGCTTATCTCCGTGTGGAGGGCTTTCCCGCTGCAACCCGTTTGTCCACTTAGCTCATTGTGTACGTCGGTAGACTTGAGATGCAGAAAGGAATTGACCACGATGATCGGTTTCAAGTCCGGGGAAGAGCGGTTCCAGAAATCAGGTAAGACAAAAACAGAATCCCAAAAATTAAGTGAACGAGTTTCATAACAGGGTGAGAATGTGGTGAAAACGCTGTAAAAAAAATAAATAAATAAAGGGCAATTGTTGTAAATTGTTGGTCAGGTTTAGGGAAGTGAGTGGGCGGGCGGGTCAATCGGTAAAATTGGTTGGGTTTAGGGAAGGAGGAGGGCGGGTCAGTCGATTGGCCAGTCGTGCTGTCAATCTCCCGGTCAGTCAGACAGCGGCCTCTGGTGGGTTCACGCAAGAACAGTGCGGGCGCGAACTGCACTCGTGAGAAGCATTTGTGATGAGAAAAAGCGCACACGGCGGCCTCTCCCGGATTCGCAAAAACAAAAACTGCAACCGTACGTACCTCCCAGGACGTATTCCGCGGTCTCCAGAAACGTCCGCGGGACTACATTTTCAAAATGAGCCTGCTCTTTTTTTTCCTGGTTATTGCACCTTTGCTGTGTGCTGTGTAAATGCAGACGATCGGATACGAGTCACTTTTATTTTTATAATTTATTCATCTTCCAGATTATGCATATATTTCAATTTCCAGAAACTGACCCTTACGACTGGTTTTGTGGTTTTGGCTCAGATTTATGTGAGACATTGGATCTTTTTACAAGCACGAGAGCAGAGAGCAGTATGATTACATCCATGGCAAGTTAACAGTCAGTCAGGTATAAAGAGCTGGAGTTGGTGAAAGCAGCGCATGGGCCCACGCACCTGTGATGGTGTTACTTTGCTGAAAGGAACTATGTGCTGAAGTGCCTGTGCCAGCCTATTAACACCAGAGGCCGACTTCAAACACGCTCCTCTGGAAACAGATGTTTGAGTGTGAGGATCTGATGCGCACTTGTTTGTTGTTGTTTTCGTTTGCTTACAGGGGCAACCAGATTTCAGTATTGACAAGAAACATGTTTGAAGCACTAGTTAGTAGTATTTTAATAAAATAACATACACAATAGCATACACTTATAAATGTCTTTTTCTGTTTGTCCAAACTACTTTTGTAAAACAACAAGACACTAAAACAACAAAAATCTTCATTTTTTTAATTTTTTTTTGGGGGGGGGGGGGGCAGCTTGATTGTTTTATGTTCAATTGACTTAATTTTGTAAAAACGATTAATTTAACTAAATAGATTTGTGTTGTGACAACATGAAGGAATTTTGTGGAACCCACAATTTTTTACAGTGTAGCCTAACATTATATGTATTTAATTTTGTATTATTAAGTCCAAAGTACAATTTTACTTGGATTTGGATTTTAAAGAGCCCCTATTTTGCATTATAAATGTCATATTTTGGTTTTGGGGCTCTTCAAAACGGTCAAAAAAACACATTCTTTGTCTTAAAATATCTATTTATTTTTACCTAATTGTCTTAACAACAAAGTCCCACACATCATAGTCTCTGCGGCTCCTTCCTTTAATAGGTTATTGTATCAATCATCAGATTGAACAAATACAGCACACGGTTGGCTATACTGTGGTGTTGTTGTGAAAATGAACTTTAACCCTTTATTCCCCGCAGCAGAATCTCCATCTGTCAGTAATCGTCATGTTCGTGTCAAAACAAAGCAGCAAATAAATTAGCAAACAGTTCAACTTATTAAAATTAATAGCTATTATAATGAAATAGAATCAAATCTCATTAGCCGTTTCTTCACTGTATAACCTACACATTCTGATTAAAGAGCAACAAATGAATTATTTATTTAGATTTTTTTCGTTTGATTACATTAAATAACAGGTCTCACTTTAAAAATGCACACATCTAACATTGAAATGAAAGCATTCGACTGCTTTCCTAACTGTTTATGCTCATTTAGGACGAAATTACTCGTGTTTGAAAAAAAAAACTCACTAAAATCAACATCTTTAGATATTAATATTAATAATTATGTGTATATGTCTGTTTAAACACGCACCCAAAACCCAGACTTTGAACCTCTATATGACTGTTTTGAGGATTGCATATGAACGGGAGACGACACTTGTAATGAAAAGGAAAGGAATCGTGCCGTTTTTACGTTTATTTCAAAGTGTTTTCTTGCCTAAACAAAGCGAAAGCACAGTACAGACTCAGATTTAAGAGCAAGGGGCGGCCACTTGCGGTGTATGTGCCACCCTTCGGAGAAAGACTGAAAATACGGGAAAAATATGGAAAAATACCTTTATGGGATCATAGCGGGATAGAACTGTTGAATACGAGAGAATCCTGGGAAAAACGGGAGGTTTGACAGGTATGCCGTATTTATCAATGGTCGCCACAGCAGAATGCACAGCCAACTATTCTGGCGCATGTGACGCCACGTTGTTGCCAACTGTAATTAAAACAAGTGGAAGAAGATAATAAAATGTGCTGCAAGGAAACTTTTGTTTTCAATTTCCTGCCATGAGAGCGCAGCTGGACTCACGTGTGGACTACAGTGGTCTTATAACACGTGACAGAAATATGTTTGTACGGAACATTTTTTTTATTTGAAAGCTTTTCGCATCCGGAAATGGTAAAATTCGGATTTGCCGATAGCCTTCTGTTAAAAAACACGCGACTCCAGTTGGTGTTGATTGTTCTGTCTCTACAGATTTGGTAAGTGTGCGATCAGTGGTCTTTGCTTGTTAATTAAGATGGCAGAGGTAGTTTCTGTTGTCAGCATTACTCTTTCAGTTTTTTAAGACATAACCAAGTCAAAATGATTTAGTTACTAAGTTTACAGTATGTTAATATCACTACAATATTATGTACTGAAAGATCCAATATAAATGCTACTCTACGAGTAAACATGTAAACACCTTAAAGAACTACCATTGTGTACAATTTTTGCCGCATTTTGTGATAGGATAGTCTATACATGGATGGCTTTCTGACGCTATTTACCAAGTGCATCTAAGTTATCGAGACATGCGGAGGGTTTTGTTCTTTCATTCGTCATGCGGTATCAAACATTCGTGTTCGTGTCAGTCTCGTGATCACCTTGTCTGAAGGGAAAGGCTCGTTCGCGTTTTACCGGATCCAGTACTACATATTTGGTGATGTACTGTTCCAACATTAACTCATTCAGGCAAAATATTTGAACCCAACACAATTAATTTATTCGACTCTGAGTCAACTATTTCATTAAAGAATCAATGTTAAACATGAAGCACTTTTAGATTTAAACTTCAGCAGGATTTTTTCATTAACTTAATGCTGTGTTACACACTGCATAGAAGGTCATTTCGAAAACCCATAATAGGGGCACTTTAATTTTAACAAAAGTAATTCAATTAGTCTATAAATCAACAACATTACCTTTGGGAGAATGCATGCATTTTTTTTATTCCTTGTGTAGAATATAAATTTTTCAATATTTTCAGTTTCAAAAAAGACTAGTCTTATCTTATTAAGATATTAACTGTTCTAGCACTTATAAAGTATGATCTAACTCTAAATTTCTAATCCTGCCCAAAACCAAAACATAACTACTACATTACTTCATATTAATAGCAAAGTCAAGTAAAGGAGGTTGAGCCTTCTCATTGATGGCTCCTAAACTCGGGAATAGCCTTCCTGATAATGTCCGAGGCTCAGACACACAAATTAAAGATTTATCTTTTCTGTAAAGCATACACTCAGTGCATCACATGGGGGTATGATGCATGAA